TTGCAGGCACTCCATGCCGACGGATAAGGCTTTGGTCACAATGTAGGTACATGTCGCTGTAGGTGAAATCAATCGGTATGAATATGATCGATCATTCAGCAGACAAAAGACAATCATAATAGATAGATAGCAAAGGTAACACGCCTTAATCAATCTCACCTCTGGACATATTGGAAAGCACCCAGAATCCTCAACTCCCCCTGTGTTGCTTTCCTCGCATCCTCAACTCCGGGTCGTCAGACTCCACCACTCTTTGACCTGTAGTTGCAATTAATAGATACCAGCATCATTCTTATTCCTTTTTTCAGAGGCCAGGGATACAATTCTCCTCTCCAAAGAAAAAAAATATGGCGTGCAAGAAGAAGATCGAGTAGAACAAAATAAGAATGGGAGCACCTCCTTCAAAACTTAAGATGGATTTAACATGGCACCTGATTTTAATCTGACAACCCTTGTTCTCCAGTTGTTCCCTTACCTATGTACATACATAGCACGAGGGCATGGCGGCGGCGCCTAGGGTTTGCCGCGCCGCATCCTCACGCGCCTCGCATCGGCTCAATCCGGGAAGGATGCATCGCCTTGCGTCGATCCCCTCCCGTGCCGGAATCCCACTCAAGCGAGTCTTGGTGGTCGTGGCCGGCAGCGCCGCGCACTTCACTTGGATCACGATCGAATCGCATGCTCATCACGCCGTCACCTGGAGCGATCCGCGTCGCCGGGCGCGGCTCGCGCCCTTTGTCTGGATCCCGCTCGAGCGCATCGCGCGCGTCGGCCACATCGGGCGTGGATGGATTCCCCCGTGACCGATCCACCTCTCTGTCCAGCAAGCACAACGAGCGCACGAGCACGGAAATCCCTATTGGACGCTCGTTGCGTCAAAATGTCAAGCGAAAGCACAGGCATGGAGCGGGATCGATTGCACTGGACCGACCCAGTAAGTGACCTGTTATGTTCGGTTTTAGGAACCTTCTAGCAGGTTCGTATATGGTTTTATCGGTTTTGAGAACCTTCCAGAAGGGTTTTTTGAACCGGTTTTTTTCCTGTTTCTTTTTCCTGTTTTTCATTTTTATTTTTCCAATTTTCTTTTCTTTTTGGTTTTTCCATTTTTGCTTCAGACGCCTATACCTGGATAGGAGTGCAGACAATATAGAGAAGTACAAGATGGCAAAGAAGCCCGCAAAGCGAGCTGTTGGTGAAGCAAGGGGTAGGGCATATGAGGACCTCTACCAACGGTTAGGCACAAAGGAAAGTGAAAGGGACATCTATAAGATGGCTACGATCCGGGAGAGGAAGACGAGGGATATTGGCCAAGTCAAATGCATCAAGGACGGAGCAGGCCAACTCTTGGTGAAGGATAAGGAAATTAAGCATAGATGGCGGGAGTACTTCGACAAGCAGTTCAATTGGAAAAATGAGAGTTCTACCATTGAACTGGACGACTCCTTTGATGAGACCAGCATGCGTTTTGTGCGGCGAATCCAGGAGTCCGAGGTGAAGGAAGCTTTAAAAAGGATGAAAGGAGGCAAGGCGATGGGCCCTGATTGTATCCCCATTGAGGTGTGGAAAGGTCTCGGGGACATAGCGATAGTATGGCTAACCAAGCTTTTCAACCTCATTTTTCGGGCAAACAAGATGCCGGAAGAATGGAGACGGAGTATATTAGTACCAATCTTCAAGAACAAGGGGGATGTTCAGAGTTGTACTAATTACCGTGGAATTAAACTGATGAGCCATACAATGAAGCTATGGGAGAGAGTCATTGAGCACCGCTTACGAAGAATGACAAGCATGACCAAAAATCAGTTTGGTTTCATGCCTGGGAGATCGATCATGGAAGCCATTTTCTTGGTACGACAACTTATGGAGAGATATAGGGAGCAAAAGAAGGACTTGCATATGGTGTTCATTGACTTGGAGAAGGCCTATGATAAGATACCGCAGAACGTCATGTGGTGGGCCTTGGAGAAACAGAAAGTCCCAGCAAAGTACATTACCCTCATCAAGGACATGTACGATAATGTTGTGACAAGTGTTCGAACAAGTGATGTCGACACCGATGACTTCCCGATTAAGATAGGACTGCATCAGGGGTCAGCTTTGAGCCCTTATCTTTTTGCATTAGTGATGGATGTGGTCCCAAGGGATATACAAGGAGATATCCCATGGTGTATGCTCTTTGTGGATGATGTGGTGCTAGTTGACGATAGTCGGACGGGGGTAAATAGGAAGTTAGAGTTATGGAGACAAACCTTGGAATTGAAAGGGTTTAGGCTTAGTAGAACTAAAACCGAGTACATGATGTGCGGTTTCAGTACTACTAGGTGTGAGGAGGGGAAGGTTAGCCTTGATGGCGAGGTGGTACCTCGGAAGGACACCTTTCGGTATTTGGGGTCTATGTTGCAGGAGGATGGGGTTATTGATGAAGATGTGAACCATCGAATCAAAGCCGGATGGATGAAGTGGCGCCAAGCTTCTAGCATTCTCTGTGACAAGAGAGTGCCACAAAAGCTAAAAGGCAAGTTCTACAGGACGGCGGTTCGACCCGCAATGTTGTATGGCGCGGAGTGTTGGCCGACTTAAAGGCGACATGTTCAACAGTTAGGTGTGGCAGAGATGCGTATGTTGAGATGGATGTGTGGCCACACGAGGAAGGATCGAGTCCGAAATGAGGATATACGAGATAGAGTTGGGGTAGCACCAATTGAGGAGAAGCTTGTCCAACATCGTCTCGGATGGTTTGGGCATATTCAGTGGAGGCCTCTAGAAGCTCCAGTGCATAGCGGACGGCTAAAGCGTGCGGAGAATGTCAAGAGAGGGCGGGGTCGACCAAATTTGACATGGGAGGAGTTAGTTAAGAGAGACCTGAAGGATTGGAGTATCACCAAAGAGCTAGCTATGGACAGGGGTGCGTAGAAGCTTGCTATCCATGTGCCAGAGTCATGAGTTGGTTGCGATATCTTATGGGTTTCACCAATAGCCTACCCCAACTTGTTTGGGACTAAAGGCTTTGTTGTTGTTGTTGTTTTGTTGTTGTTGTTGTTTGGTTTTTCCATTTCCTGTTTCTCCTTTTATTTTCTTTCCTTTTAAATTTTTTTTCAAGTTTTTTCCTTTTTCAACAAATGTTAAGAAATTTTATAAATGTTCTCATTTTAATTTTTGTTCACAAATTCCAAATTCTTGGGGGAATTTCAAAAAATGTTCCCACCCAAAATTTTGTTCACAATTTTAAAAATTGTTCATGTTTGAAATTTTCTTCGGGAATTCAAAAAAGTTAGGGAACTTCAAAAAACGTTCCCAGTTTCTAATTTTGTTCGTGAATTCAAAATGTTGTTCTGAAAACTCAAAAATGTTCTAGGAATTTAAAAAATGTTTGCATTTTCATTTTTTCACCTAAAAAATGTTTGGGTATTTCAAATAATGTTTCAGCTTCCAAATCTGTTCACAAATTAAAAATAAATCATTTTTTCAAAATTTGTTCACAAATACAAAAATGTTCACTATTTGGCAAAATTGTTCGCTATATTCAAAAAGTGTTCATGTTTTGAAGTCTTTTCCAGTTTTTCAAAAAATGTTCACGTTTCTAAATAATGTTCCTAAATTGAAAAAATATTTTTCTATTAAAGAATTCCCTCTTTCCTCAAAAAATGTTGCTCTTGTAGAAAATATTTTTTTTGGCAAAACAAATCACGCTCCAAATTTGAAAATATGTTGAAATCTATCACGGCCGTTAGTTTATATAAACTCGGATGCCATTTTTGACGTGAAGTTGCAGGTAGTAAAGTAGTTAGTGATGGAGTAAGTTGTTCCAAGGTCCTGTGTTCGATACGTAGCTACACTTTAGCACTTTTTTTTTGGAATTATGGGTCGTAGTTTGCTCTAATCTGGGCCGGCCCAGTGGGGCGACGACCCCTGTGCCGCACGGGTCTGTTGGACGCAACGCGCGTCACATAGGAGGTCCCACGAGCACGATCCACCTTCCCTGTCGAGCGTGATAGCCATGTTAGTTTAATGGGCTGCAATAACCGGCCCAGTTTACCAGAGGGCTCGGTTTCGGCCTCTGGAGCAGCAGCCCGCAGTACTGTTGGGCCAGATTTACATAGTGCGGGACTGATTGCATCCAGACGTGATATGACGGCCAAAAACGTCTAAATCACAAAAGCGGACGACCGAAAACGCAAAACACAGAGAGAACTCGGTTTAAGTGCGGTTATTATACTGTCCTTAATATCCTACTAACTTTCGGTTTGCAAAAATGTGGTTTTCTTCCTCCCTTCTGGTTTATAGGTCTCAACTCAAAAAAAATCACCAACAAAAGTAGATATTGAGTGATTAAATCATTTTTGTAGTCTGCAAAAATAATCAATTAATTGGCTAGTTTTTCTTAAAAATTGTGCTTACCCATGTATTAATTGCAATGCATGCATACCTGACGGATAAATGATCAAGAATTTTTACATGCATTGATGGATCTTCTCTTAATCATTGCATGCAATGATTTAATGAATGTTAAAATCTGAATATGTGAATGAGCGCAATCAATTTGAGACTTATAAAATGAAAAAATAAAATATATTCTTTTGAGACAAGGCCTATAAGCCGAAGGGAATTGAGGAGACCATGAGCTCAAAAAGAAATGTATTTAATCAAATCTAGCCATGCAAACGCACAAACGACCCAGCTAGCTATGCAAAACAGAGTAATTCCGACATATTTAACCCGTATTTCACCGACCGAGCAATGGTAACCAAAGGCATCTTGCAGTACTCCATAAAATTCCAACATCATATAATTGAAATATGCAAGATACAGTCCAAACTTAATTAGTACTACCACAAAACTGTCGTAGCAGCACAATACGTACAAGAGCCTTGGTCTAGACCCGACAGCCACACGTACAAAGAAAACAAAAAGCAATCACGTGTACACCAAACAAATACAAGAATACAAGAGCAAATACCGACGACGTAGGCACGTCGTCCCCACTGCATTGCGCTGGTACCTCACTCATGCAGAGTGGCGTACGTCACGTAGCTGGAGTAGTCACGGGCCGCTGTCCCCTCCGGCGCCGCCGCCGCGTTCTTCTTGGCGTCAGCGGCGGGGCACACTACGCGAGCGTTCGCCGCCGGGCACGTCTTCGGCTGGCTCAGGAACGAGGCGCACTCCGCCGCGGCCCTCTGGTTGGCGACGCCGGGGATGCAGTTGTACTTCACGTCCAGCACGCCGTCCTTGATCAGTGCCGAGCACGCCGGCCCGACCGACGTGAAGTAGTTGCCCGAGAGCGTGAGGTTGGAGAGGCGGCCGGCCGGCCCGGCCAGTTTGCAGAGCGCGTCGGGGACCTGCCCGTACAGGCGGTTGCCGCCCAGGTTGAGCTGCTCGACGCTGTTGAGGCACGAGAAGGATGACGGGATTGGGCCAGTGAGCTGGTTCATCCCGGCGTCGATGACGGCGGTCTTGGTGAGCATGCCGAGCTCGTTGGGGAGGCAGCCGGAGAGCTGGTTGTTGAGGAGGTGCATCTCGAGGAGGAAATCTTGCATGTGCATTATTGATGGCGGGATTGGCCCGGTGAGCTTGTTGTTGGCGAGGGCGAGGTACCTCAACTTGGAGAAGCCCAAGTTTGCAGGTAGTGGCCCGGATAAACTGTTGCTGTTGAGGAGGAGCGCCCTACCAATATTAAGCTTTGTGCCCTTTCGGGCAGTTTCGACAACAGCTTCTGGTTCACCAATATCAATCGGACCCAGTCTTATATATATGGTGATGAGATACTTGCTCTCAGGAAATGGATCATGGCGGTCGTCATGGATACTTAGCTTGTACTGGTACTGAAGGCTGCTGAGGGACGGGATACCGCCGCCAAAATTGTTGGAGGAAGCCTGAAAAAGCACAAGATCGGGGAACTGGTCGATGAAGCCTTCCAGCATCGGCGCACTCAGGCCAAAATCATTGAAATCAACCGCCATGATCGTAAGCTTCTTAGCCAGATCAGGTGTCCTCCCGCAATGGAAACCCAGGTAGGTTTTCCTGCCGCAGATGTCATGGCCAGACCAGGTCGTGGTTATGTTTTTTGGGTCACTAGAAATTCTGCTCTTGAAGCGTTGGATAACGAGATAGGCTTTGTATAGCCCCTCGTTTGGGAAGTGTTGCGGCTGTGGGCTGTATGATACAAAAGGCTCACTGATCTTGCGAGATGGTTCTGGGTGAGAAGGTTCTCTTGTTGTTGCAGCAACAAGAGACAGGGTTAAGCAGACTGATATGGCAAAAGAACCAAATAGATACTTGGCCATGGTTCGATTGTAGAACAAGGGCGCCCGCTGCTTGGAAGACAAGGTCTAATCTCCATATATATAGTGCACAATGCACTATATTGCCAATTTGCCATAAGCATCTTCTGGGCGGAAAGTAGTTTCTATCCGTGACGGTAGGTAGTGGCGAAATATTCACCATGCAGCAGCTTTCATATTCATGCTGCGGAGGCCGACTTCTTTTTCCCTACCAAACCTTAGGGCTTTTTTTATATTCACTATCAAAGGTCGTTACATTTTTATATCTCCTCCTTTATTCATTATCGTAGCATCACTTACAGTAAGAGGAATAACCACATCCGGGGCGGTGTCCCTCCATACATTTGAAGGAGAAAATCTAGCTATCCAAGCCGGTTCATGAGCTACTTGATTTCTTTCTCTATTACAATGATCTTTTTTCCGGGGATTCTCTATTACTCCCTCCATCTCAGTTTATAAGTCTTGCACGTGTATTTAGGTCGTCAATTTGACTTATATAAAATAAATTATTTAACATAAAAATTATATCATTAGAAAATAAAACATCAAAGTTTTTAGTGATATATATTTTTGAAATATATACTCATATTAAATTGGTAAAATTAAGGACCTAGATACATGTGCAAGACTTATAAACTGAGATGAAGGAAGTACAATGATCACAGATTACATAAGTAAAGTCAAGCGACATAAAATAAGAATCATCAAAGATCGTTACCTCGTTTATAAGCGAGTAAAATGCACCCCGGGTCACCAAACTTGTTCCGCGTGGTCACTTTCATCATTGTATTCAAAGAATGACTCATTACAGTAATTGTACTTGAGTGAACGGGCTCATTTGGTCACTGGCTATGTTTTCCACTCGTATTTCATACGTATTTTGCCCTTGTGGCGCTTTTGACCGGTCCACGTGTTGAGCTGGAGTAAAACACACCCAGCCGCTGTTCCTTTGCAGTTAAACCCGTGTCCATCATTTTTTTTACGTTTGGAGATGCGTTTATCACATCGCTTGGTAAACGGAGGAGAGGAAGGGCCGCAATTGGCGTCATCGTGGAGGCAGGGGATTTGGCGGAGGCGGAGGTGGGGCGGAGTCGTCATCGTTGCCGTGAGGGCATTGAGCCGCCAGTGTCTAGGGAGATGACATGGCCGCCCTTCGTCACCACGATGGCGCTGAGCCGCCGGTGTACGGTAAGTCTCTGCTTTTCTTCTTTTCATCTGTTTCTGATGCAAAGGCGCCAATTTGTTGTCGATTTTGATGTTTTGACGCATGATCCTGTCAATATGAGGACACATTGTTGATCAAAACATATTTTGTTGGTCGAATTCTAAGTAGGGTATTGGGAGGGGTTTGTTAGGGTTTCTGTTGGGGATTGATTTAGGGTAATTAATTTCAGTAATCAAATTGATGGATGTTTTCTCTGCATAATCAAATTGATGGATGTTTTCCTGCATAATGTAGGTCCCCGGAGCTTGAATTTCTTTGTGGAGTTCAATGTAGGTGGCTATTTTCTTGGTACCGGAGGGAACAGGGCTTATGTCAATTGCAAGTCAATTTGGTAAGATGATCTGCATGTTGACACATGGTCACATCTTGTTGTGGAACATTTGGTTGATGAGACTGGATATGAAATGGCAGGGAGGATCAAGGCTTACTATCTGGTGCCACTACTTGATATTACCAGAAAATGGGCTGAGGTAGATAAGAAATGATGATGACACGGACAAAATGTGTGATTTTGTAGAAATTGGTTATCATTCCTTACAAATCTTTCTTGATCATGATGACAGCCTTAACTCAAAAAAACAGGGATGATGTACTGCATTTTCGAGTAGCTCAACTACCACCTGTTCTTAGTCCAACAACGTGAAATTTTGGTGCTGCAAATGCCAGAGAGAAGGAGCCAGTGCCAATCAAGATAGTTTTTCCAGATGTGGAGATAACAAGATTGCAAAACAATGATGACAACCATTCTGAGCCTGATGGAGGTACTGGAAATGCAGAAATTGGTTCAACAACTACTAAAGATGCAGAGTATGATAAAGCAGCAGCTAATGCAGAAGCAGAGGAAATTGCAGCTAGAGAAGTGGAGGCAGAGATAAGGGCCAGAAATGTAGAGGCAATGCAAGCTCAAGTCCAAAGTGTTGGAAATATGCCCTAGAGGCAATAATAAAAGTATTATTATATTTCATTGTTCATGATAATTGTCTTGTATTCATGCTATAACTGTATTATCCGGAAATCGTAATACACGTGTGAATACTTAGACCACACTATGTCCCTGGTAAGCCTCTAGTTGACCAGCCCGTTGTGATCAACAGATAGTCATGGTTTCCTGACTATGGACATTGGATGTCATTGATAACGGGATCACATCATTAGGAGAATGATGTGATGGACAAGACCCAATCCTAAGCATAGCATAAAAGATCGTGTAGTTCGTTTTGCTAGAGCTTTGCAAGTGTCAAGTATCTCTTCCTTCGACCATGAGATCGTGTAACTCCCGGATACCGTAAGAATGCCTTGGGTGTGCCAAACGTCACAACGTAACTGGGTGACTATAAAGGTGCATTACAGGTATCTCCGAAAGTAGCTGTTGGGTTGACACGGATCGAGACTGGGATTTGTCACTCCGTATGACGGAGAGGTATCTCTGGGCCCACTCGGTAATGCATCATCATAATGAGCTCAAAGTGACCAAGGTGTTGGACACGGGATCATGCATTACGGTACGAGTAAAGTGACTTGCCGGTAACGAGACTGAACAAGGTATTGGTATACCGACGATCAAGTCTCGGGCAAGTAACGTACCGATTGGCAAAGGGAATTGTATACAGGGTTTGATCGAATCCTCGACATAGTGGTTCATCCGATGACAACATCGAGGAGCATGTGGGAGCCATCATGGGTATCCAGATCCCGCTGATGGTTATTGACTAAGAGAGTCTCGGTCATGTCTACATGTCTCCCGAACCCGTAGGGTCTACACACTTAAGGTTCAGTCACGCTAGGGTTGTAGGGATATGTATATGCAGTAACCCGAATGTTGTTCGGAGTCCCGGATGAGATCCCGGACGTCACGAGGAGTTCCGGAATGGTCCGGAGGTAAAGATTTATATATGGGAAGTCCTGTTTCGGGCATCGGGACAAGTTTCGGGGTTATCGGTATTGTACCGGGACCACCGGAGGGGTCCCGGGGGCCCACCGGGTGGGGCCACCCATCCCCGGGGGCCACATGGGCTGTAGGGGGTGCGCCTTGGCCTACATGGGCCAAGGGCACCAGCCCCACAAGGCCCATGCGCCTAGGGTTTCCAAGGGGGAGGAGTCCTACTAGTGGAAGGCACCTCCTAGGTGCCTTGGGGGGGAGGGAATCCCCCCTTGGCCGCCGCACCCCCTAGGAGATTTGATCTCCTAGGGCCGGCCACCCCCCCTTGGCACCCCTATATATAGTGGGGGGAGAGGAGGGACTTCACACCTTGTGCCCTGGCCTTTGGTTGCCTCCTTCTCCCTCCCCAACACTTCCTCCAACTCCATAGCGCTTAGCGAAGCTCTGCCGGAGTACTGCAGCTCCACCAACACCACGCCGTCATGCTGCTGCTGGTGCCATCTCCCTCAACCTCTCCTCCCTTCCTTGCTGGATCAAGAAGGAGGAGACGTGGCTGTTTCCGTACGTGTGTTGAACGCGGAGGTGCCGTCCGTTCGGCGCAGGTCATCGGTGATTTGAATCACGTCGAGTACGACTACATCATCACCTTGCAAGCTTCCGCACGCGATCTACAAGTGGTATGTAGATGCAAACTCTCTCCCTAGACTCGTTGCTTAGATGAACTCATAGATGGATCTTGGTGAAACCGTAGGAAAAATTTTAATTTTCTGCAACGTTCCCCAACAGTGGCATCATGAGCTAGGTCTATGCGTAGTTCTCTTTGCACGAGTAGAACACAACTTTGTTGTGGACGTGGATTTTGTCATCTTACTTGCCTCTACTAGTCTTTTCTTGCTCAACGGTATTGTGGGATGAAGCGGCCCGGACCAACCTTACACGTACACTTACGTGAGACCGGTTCCACCGACTGACATGCACAAGTTGCATAAGGTGGCTGGCGGGTGTCTGTCTCTCCCACCTTAGTTGGAGCGGAATCGATGAACAGGGCCCTTATGAAGGGTAAATAGAAGTTGACAAAATCACGTTGTGGTTATTCGTAGGTAAGAAAACGTTCTTGCTAGAACCCAATTGCAGCCACGTAAAAGATGCAACAACAATTAGAGGACGTCTAACTTGTTTTTGCAGCGATTGATCATGTGATGTGATATGGCCAGAAGTTGTGATGAATAATGAATTGTGATGTATGAGATCATGTTCTTTGTAATAGGATTCACGACTTGCATGTCGATGAGTATGACAACCGGCAGGAGCCATAGGAGTTGTCATTATTTTTTTGTATGACCTGCGTGTCATTGAATAACGTCATGTAAACTACTTTACTTTATTGCTAAACGTTAGTCATAGAAGTAGAAGTAGTCGTTGGCGTGACAACTTCATGAAGACACGATGATGGAGATCATGATGATGGAGATCATGGTGTCAAGCCGGTGACAAGATGATCATGGAGCCCCGAAGATGAAGATCAATGGAGCTATATGATATTGGCCATATCATGTCACAACTATATAATTGCATGTGATGTTTATTATGTATTATGCATCTTGTTTACTTAGAACGACGGTAGTAAATAAGATGATCCCTTATAAAATTTCAAGAAGTGTTCTCCCCTAACTGTGCACCGTTGCTACAGTTCGTCGTTTCTAAGCACCACGTGATGATCGGGTGTGATGGATTCTTACATTCACATACAACGGGTGTAAGACAGTTTTACACAGCGAAAACACTTAGGGTTAACTTGACGAGCCTAGCATGTACAGACATGGCCTCGGAACACGGAGACCGAAAGGTCGAACACGAGTCGTATGGAAGATACGATCAACATGAAAATGTTCACCGACG